ATATTGGATATTAAAGGTTCATTATTGGTATTAAATATAGCTTCAATTGCAGATCTACTGTCGGTACATATAATGCATTTATTTCCCATTCGGGAAGCAAATTGTACAGCCTCAAATATCGCGGCTGCTTCGGCAGTAAATACCGAGCAGTAGGATGGCAAAGAACCGACCATAATAGTAACACCTAGTGGGTTTGTCTGACTTGGATCCGTCCGTATAATACAAGTTCCAATCATCATTTAAGGACTCTAATACCGCATTAAACATTTGTTTGTACCCATTACTGCTGGAAGAATATTTTGGGTACTTAAGTAGGGTGTTGATGAGTGATGAATTTAGAAGCGCACTTGGAGGATACTCTGAAGTTTTAAGAAGTGATGGGGTGGTTATGATGTTCAGCTGTTGAATTAGACTCAAGCAACTCATAATAGTAGACGGCTTACGTATAGAACAATTGATTTGCGAAAAAATTAATTCATTTCTGCAGTGAAGTAGCCTCGGTATAAGCATCATGGTGTTACGCATGGTCCGGTGGTTTATATGTGGTAATTCAGCTTCTGATAGAATTGCCTTAATTGGTGACGTTGGGAAGGCGCGAATGCTTCTTCTGACTGCTGCGTGGTAGGGTGCGTTCAAGAGCTTAATGTTTGTATTAGCGCAATGTCCGTAAATACAAAGTCCGAAGTCAATTTTAGATAATATTAAAGCTTTTGTTTTATTGACAAGAATATTTGTATGTACTAAGCAGTGTTTAGATGATAAGAATTTAATTATATTCAATCTAGAAAAAAAACTTACTCTAACATATTTACAATGCTCTTTGAAAGTTAATTTGTTGTCGAATATAAGTCCTAAGACTCTTAATTTATTAGTATGTAGGAGATCAACGTTAGAAAAGGATATATTAGGAAAGTAGCACTTTTGTTTCCGACATATGTGAAAAGTTTTACATTTGCTAGGCGATATATTAGCGCCTGAAAGTTTTGGCCAATTACTTATTTTATTCAATATATTTAAAAATATGTGTTTAACTTGGTTTARATCTTGAGTTTGAGAGAATATTAAAACATCATCGGCATAGATGCAGTGTTTGACAGCTCCACTAGAACTTATACTTGTACTTATTTCATTGAACGCAATGGTAAATAACGCAACAGAAAGGGGTGATCCCTGTGGTATACCATTAAATAGATCGTGTAGGCCAGATTTATGCATATTGGCAATAATAAAAAATTTACGGTCGTTCAAAAACGGTTTTATTATATTATACAGTTTTTCGCCGATATTCCATTTTTTAAGTCCCTTAAGTACCATGTGAGGTCCAATCCTGTCAAATGCTTTTTCAAAGTCTAAACTTAGCACAGAAACGTGATTTCGGTTTGACAAAGCCGTAGAGGCATAGTGTTCGAAAAACAGAGCGTCAGTTACTCCTAATCCTTTTTGGAAGTCAAATTGTTGGGGTTTTATAAAAGCGTTTGCTTTGGCAAACCACATAACTCTTACAGATACTATTTTCTCCAGAATTTTGGGCATGCAAGGAAGTAAGGATATGGGTCTATAATTTTCTATTTGAGAGGTAGGTTTATTGGGCTTGGGCATGGGAAGGAAGCTGTCTTCCACTCCTGTGGATAGATTCCCTCGTTGAGGATTTCATTGTAAAGAGAAAGTATTCGTATTTTAAGGGATCGAGRGAGATTTTTAGGGATGGGATAGGAAATTTTGTCCAATCCTGGAGTTTTACCAGTCATCGATGCAATTGTTACATCGAATTCA